GTACATCTCTACGATGTATTCTCACGAACTTGTATGCATCGAAGCAAAGGTCACTTACTACCTACTAACGCCTTTATCGTTAATCTTAACCCCTTACATTAAATAAAAATCCGAAATTTCAGACTTCTGGGAACTTTGCAATTCTTGATAAGCATTCTGCAAGAGCTTTCATATCCTGTTCCTTAATTGCACCATCTTCCAACCATGGCCTAGCAACTATATCTTAGGGACCAATAATTTAAATAAAAAAAAATACGCGGGACTAAAACAATACTTCCTAAAGGACTTTTTGTTGAAACATTGAATATGATTGTTGAGCTGTACTACCCTGCTTGTTTTATGCGTCTTTGTGTACAAGAAATATTGATGCCTTAAATTTATCTTATTCATCTCATGTTACATCTATTCGCAGTTTTTGGAGTCCAATTTCAACCCATTTGAGTATTCAAACAATTCGCGTCCAATCGAAACAGATGTTACAGGCCTTGCTGTCAAATGTGGGAACTCGACTGTTCCTGTTTCTGACCTGAGTGTACCCATAGACATCCTGACGAGACGAGAAAACAAAAGACTGGATGAAATCATGTATGTCTTCTCGTCATCTTCACCGCTTGGTAACATATCGGTATGTATTAATCTTAGTATGATTTTATGAAAAAAGGTAGAAGTTATATGAGATAGAGAGAGAGAAAGAGAGAGATAAGCTAATTAGTTTTAGATGGTACAGAGTTGGCGCATCGACCTGTTAACTGACCTTAAGAATTGCAGACTTCAAGTTTACACCAACTGCTGTCTTTGATGACTAGCGACTTTTTGTCCTGAAATAGATTACCATAACAGTTTATCGTCTCATATTAATTGCCTCGAAGAAATCAGTATGATCATTCGATGTTATCCATGTGTTGTTGAACGGATCGTTAGTAGCTGCTTTTGTTTTCCCAGATATTTCATTTTTATGCTAGAAGAAACATGTCATCACTGAGCTTCAGCGTGGATTTTAACAGCACCCTCTTTCCACAAGAAGTCACTCTTTGGTTAAGCAAACATGAGCCTCCAACACCAGATACCTATGACTGGACAACAACCTTACCACTTCCTGATGATGAGCTCTTCAGCGTCCCATGGATAAATGGAACATTCCTGACATCCAGCGCTTACCAGTGGCTGCTGCCGGAAGATGTGATTGTCATCACAGATACCGATGTGGACGTGTACAACAGGACGGACTATTTCATAGGTAAGTGTCTTCCTTTTCATCACTTCCAGACGAAAGTATTATTCATAGTGACAATTATTTGTTCTAGTTCGAATGTTGGGGGTTTCAAAGTGAGCGTCTGTGCGTTTGCTTTATCTGTGTGTAAGTGCTATCAAAGAAAACAGCTTTGACCTGTTTGGCATAAGTATTTTAATTAGACATACATGATTTCATCCAGTCTTTTGTTTTCTCGTCTCGTCAGGATGTCTATGGGTACACTCAGGTCAGAAACAGGAACAGTCGAGTTCCCACATTTGACAGCAAGGCCTGTAACATCTGTTTCGATTGGACGCGAATTGTTTGAATACTCAAATGGGTTGAAATTGGACTCCAAAAACTGCGAATAGATGTAACATGAGATGAATAAGATAAATTTAAGGCATCAATATTTCTTGTACACAAAGACGCATAAAACAAGCAGGGTAGTACAGCTCAACAATCATATTCAATGTTTCAACAAAAAGTCCTTTAGGAAGTATTGTTTTAGTCCCGCGTATTTTTTTTTATTTAAATTATTGGTCCCTAAGATATAGTTGCTAGGCCATGGTTGGAAGATGGTGCAATTAAGGAACAGGATATGAAAGCTCTTGCAGAATGCTTATCAAGAATTGCAAAGTTCCCAGAAGTCTGAAATTTCGGATTTTTATTTAATGTAAGGGGTTAAGATTAACGATAAAGGTGTTAGTAGGTAGTAAGTGACCTTTGCTTCGATGCATACAAGTTCGTGAGAATACATCGTAGAGATGTACGAACTACCAAAAATGACACAAAAGCCCCCTTCATACAGATTTCTTATAAAAGTTATATACGTGAAGGTGCTTCATAATAATCATCACCCTGTGTAACGTTATTTCCTTGCCGTTGCTGGACAAACCCTACCCATTCCCAAGTAAATTCTGGCAATGGAGAAAACAGACCATAGTACCTGCACTCCAACCGTCTCTTCTAATGGACAATTATCTCCAATAACGGATGAAAAGGACGGCACGTGGACAAAGGAGTCACTCACACCCGCCACTGTATACAACTTCTCACTGGAGTCATCGCGATCCTCCCGTTTAATTCTCACGTGGATCTATATACAGAACAGATAATTTTGCATCGTAAGCAAATTCATTATACAACATCAAAGCTACCCATTTTCAAACAAATGCACAGCCGTATTGCGGGTTCTGAAATATGAAAATTTGGTAATATCATATATCACATTAGTATGTATAGTTTAAGTAAAATATACTATTGCATTTTTTTTATGGCCCATGTTTATTTATGGCCTTTCATTAGCTTGTAAGAACATAAACGCACAATAAATGTCATGGCACCAAAGCTACTGTTGTTTTTGTTTTTAAAGTATTTTAACATTTTCCTTTCTTTCAGACCATTATTTTCTATTTAAGACCTCTACCCTCTATTTTAGACATTCAAGAAACAACTAATACCTCTACAGAACATATCATTCAAAGAAAACCATACCTTTGACGTATATATATCTGCAAATAGATCGCCCTCCTCGTAGGCTGGCATCATGTTGTTCAGATAAATGTCGTCAAGCACGTCTAAGACTTGGAAGGTTATTATAGTGGCTTCCTTGTTCTAAAAATCCAAAACAAACTACCTTATTTCATTTTCTTAACACACTTTAATTCAATAAAAAATCAAATAGTGGTCTTTAAATAAGAACACCGTAAAGAATAGTAATACCTCACAAAGGATTCTGAGTAAAATTGCATAAGGTGCATAGTTGGTATTATGATTTGAGTGTAGCTAGTAAATTTCATTATAGGTGGGAATCTTTCGTTGCCTACCAATTCCAACATGTTCGAAAATCCAAATCCATCCTCATGGTCCAACAGAGCCTTTACCTCAGAAGCTTTGAACACATGGGCAGCGCCTGGAAAATATGAAAGACTCTCAGATTTAGTATACTAGTAAGGCCACATCTCCCTAATTTTATCGCACGCGCATTGATTTTCGCCTGTTCTCAAAAAAACGTCCTCCGAGGCTCTGGCTTGGCTCTAGGCCAGGGCAATCCATGGTAGTTAACGACAATACGGAGCCGGTGATAACTCTGGAGGATGACACCCAGGCTACCAAAGCTCTACGACTCAACGCTCAGTGCATACGTATGGTGCCGATTCATAGATTCCGCAAAAGGCCAGGCTTGTCCTATACGTCGCTACGTACTGCCACAAACTTCACAATACCAGCCTTGTGGTTTCATAGTAGCATTTTTTTATTTTTGGCTGGAATTTTTTTATTCGCTCGCGCGCACAAGTTTAAGGTCTTCATGTCTTTCATATAATCAAGTCGGAGGGTCAAACAGGTCAATCGGTTATTACATACGAACATCAACGTTTAACAAGAATTCGGAGATCTTATGCCTATATGCAAATTGTTAGAATGATGCATGTAGCATAATCTATTTTATAGACGGTTTTTCTTAATTCAACTGGCAAATATTTAATATGTAAAAGTCCTATCCTCTGTCAAGGCTTTATGTTAATCTTTTACCATTAATCATGCAATGACATCACATTTACATAATGGATGTTAGGATGTTTAGGATGTTAACCTAAATTAAGTTACAAATATCACAAGTGTGATATGCCCATTTTTGTTCTGAAAACATTGTGTTTTTATATTGAGTATGCAAATTATGTCGTAATTTGAATTATTAGTACCTGAAAATGTTAAACTTGGCTTAGGTGACATGCATTACATGTATGCCCAGAAGTAGTTACAGTAACATAACCCCTAGTAAGCGGCCAAGAGCCACTAACGAAAGGGTTAAGCCTATTTAAACTTACCCTAACATTGTTGCAAAAAAAATCCCACCACGATACAAGTGTGAAGTTTAAGTGTGAATTATTTCCACAAAAGTATTTCCTTTTTATGGCATTTTTAAAGTATATAAGAAGGAGACTAAATAATAATAACAATTGATTCTGATTTCAATGGATACTAGAACATACCTGTAAATATCAATGCTGTAGCATAGTTCACATCCTCAACAGTCTTGGAGTAATTTCTTGACAACTCTCTTAATTTCTCAGTTGCATGCATCAGAGACATTGCACTGTGAACCTGTATTATTCATAGTGACAATTATTTGTTCTAGTTCGAATGTTGGGGGTTTCAAAGTGAGCGTCTGTGCGTTTGCTTTATCTGTGTGTAAGTGCTATCAAAGAAAACAGCTTTGACCTGTTTGGCATAAGTATTTTAATTGTATATCTTGTTTTAGCGTTTTAGCAACAAGTTTGTTAGGGTTCGAAAGTGAAAAAAGATCAAGTTTTATTTTGTTGACACAATATTCCCTGGGTTTTTAGGATTTTTATCGCGACAAAACACAGAACTATGGTCTAATAATGAATAGGTAACAATGCATCCTTTAATGCAATTTGTTTAACTCAACAATATACACATCCAAAATGTTTAAAATCCTTGTCATATGTTAAAATATAATAGAATTAAAAATGTTATAATTGTAATTGTACTTGAAATTGAAATGTTGGTTCAAAAATTCACGCCAGAATGTAAAATGTATTTTCAATATGGAAGAAAACGTAAGGTGGGGCAACTTAATACATCACTGCACAATCATTGAATGATATACAGAACTGAATAAGAAGTAAAGATATATCTGGATCTAAGGTCAATCTAACATGTTCATAATTTAACAAACTTGTGTATGTTTTGTCAGATTCCCCTTTTAGATTTCAATGTATACTACACAAGTCTTCATGGAGTCATAAAAATTTCACATAGCAATGTATAAAAAAAAACCACAACGTAACTTACACTAACACTAACACTTACATTGACATCATTTACACAAATAACAAATCTAACTAATAAGACTTCCTATTGACATTCACAATAGCATAAATATGTTTTGCTTAATAAAAGCGAGTGAAATAAATACATTTTACCTTGGACTTGTTGGACAATTGCATTTATTTCTAACAGGAGTTCGGTTCGGCTCTGATGTTGATCGTGCCAGCGGTGAAATCGTCAGCTTCACTCTGTACGTCTTTGAGACAACCTGTGTCTACTTTGAAGAAAACCAAACTCACCTGTGGCAACGTGACGGCTGTAGGGTAAAATCACTTGGCATATTTTTCTTCTTTCTCCTTATACCAAAATAAATTGTTTTGTTTACCTTTCTTTTTGTAGCTATGGTGTGTAAATAGTTTATTTACTATGTAGTGATAATTTTGAAATTGCATTTCTATACATTTTCCATATACTGAAACCAATGCATACGTTTGTACATCAGAACAGGAGGCTATAAAGATTATACGGATTATTTACTATGGCAGAATCTTTTAAACGACATTCGCCATTTTTCCTCACTTGACTTGACGATTGCGTTGTATATGTGAGGGGGTATATATATATGCGTTGTATATGTGAGGGGGTGTATATATCATATATTATATATATTACATATTTTTCCTACAAGTATGTTGGTGGGATGTCAGGGAATAAACTATTACCGCGAGTCCACGGTAGTTAATTTGGAAATTTGACTGATGTTGTACTGGCTTTCTTGGCTTACCACTTCTATTTTTTTACAAACAGGTCGGTTTGATGTCAAACATCAGCCACGTCCACTGCCAGTGTGATCACCTGACCAAGTTTGCTGGTTTCGTGGCGCCAAACCCACTGAACATCCGGGAAGTTTTCTCAAAGAACATCTTGGAGAATCCGACAGGTCTCATCCTGGTTCTCACTGTGTTCATGTCCTACGTGATGGGTGTTGTCTGGGCCAGGAAAGCAGACAGAAAAGATATCGCTAAGGTCAGGCGAACGGTGTTTAATATGATGTGTACTTGTGTACGTTGCCCTCCGTCAATGTATAAGTTTGCAACTTTCATTTTATCACCATTTTACGTTATATATTTTGAAGTAACTGTTATAATAAGTCTTTTAAGATTTTAACTTTGTCACTGTAAGATAAATGCTCATTCAGCACTGCTGTTTAACCGGGGTAAAAAGACGATAAATCTAATAATAAAATGCAACAATATTAATACCGATAGATTAAATAAATGTTTGATTCATTTGCTCCTATGCAAAGTAATGTACGTTACAGAAACTAGGTAATGTCTGGTTAGGATAAAGGGGAAAAAGTGCACAACGTCGGGGCCAGTTACGGACTCCTAAAATTTAAAGTCAAAACAAAACTACTTTGCCGCCCTTCCGGTGCTTACTACAGGTTGGGGTGGGACTACTTCCTGGTCACAGGCTGAACTCACGTAAGGAATGCCAATACGTCATCACAGTATACACTGGATTTCGTGGCAATGCGGGAACAACTGCTAAGGTAGCCTGCTTAAATCGCACTCCTAGCAGTTTTGCAATTGCTCATAGCGGGCAGTTAAGTTAATTTATGCCTTGTTCAGGAATGGGCCATTCCCTACCAGGACTGCCCCCTGCCTGTTACATTTTGGTGTTACATGAGTTTTTCATTTGCATTTTTAATAATAATAATAGAAAATCCCGAACTCCTCTTGGACTAACTTTCGAAATTGTAGATGATTATGAGGTTTCATTGGCCCTTCTTATGGCTAACATAGAGGTAAGGGACCATGAAATCTGCAGGGAAAGGGTCCATAGGGTTCGGAATTATCTATGTTTCACAAACTATTATTAATGTGTTGTTTTGTTTTACAAATACCTATATGCAGAAAGAGGTATTTGCTAATTTTCTATACTATAGCAGACAATGCACCTAGTACGTAATCAATGATTTAGATTCTGTTGATGGCAATGATGAAGTCTATATATTCATTAAAAAAACTATAGATACAACTATATATACAACATGTCATCACAGATTACATTGGTGCTATACGGCAGCCAATACGAGAGCCTTCCCTTTACGCTGCGGGACGACAACCGATGTCTGTTTGAACAAGGCAGTGTGGACTCTTTCCTGATGTCAACAGAAGAACCTCTAGGGGTCATCACACACATGAGAGTATGGCACAACAACGCTGGTTTCAGCCCCTCATGGTAAGTTTGGAAACAATAAAGAATGTATAATTTTATAAATTTCCAAAGCCTTACTACAACAATTTATCTAATGCTTATTTGTTAATTTGAACCTTTTATGAAAGCATATGTTAAAGCCTAACTAAAACAATAGCCGTCTTAAAAGTATGTATTAGAATATGGATTTTCTTATTTGTTTAATTTTGCAGGTACCTTAGTCAAATCATAGTAACAGACAGGGGAACAAACAACACAGCACATTTTCTAAGTAACAGGTAATGATACTTGTATTATTCCACTTCATATAAGTTCAACAATCGTAATATTTTAGTGTTAGCTGAAGTTGCATGTGGCTGGACGCAGTTTTTTTTTCAATAAACAGATTAACCAGTAATAAACACCGCTTGGCATTGGACCCTTAAAATTGTTAGTTATATTTTTGCTATCAAAATTGTATAATTGACAATTTTTAAAGTGTCATGGTGCTATTTACTCCCCTATTTTATTTATAAACAATGTTTAATTTTAATTTTTGCCCTTTATTTATATTTGTGTATAATAAATTTTCTTTAAAATCATTCATGTGTATGAGCTATTTGGACATGTTATGAACGCTACATGCCGAGCAAAAATGGCACAAAATGATCGTACAAAACTGAATACCTATTGTAGAAAATGTTGGAAAATAAGTAGTTAGCATCAATATAAAATATATTAAGAAATAAACAAACATTAAAGTACATTTTGAAGTTATAGTATCTTTGATATTTTTTTTTCATTTTTTTAATACAGGTGGCTCGCTGTTGACGAAGATGATGGAAAGATAGAACGCATCATACCGGCAGCAGGAAAAGAGGAAATTACTAAGTTCCAAAACTTGTTCTTTACTAAATGTACAAGGTACATGGCTTCATTACACTATGACAGAAATTTAAGTACCTAATTTCAGTTGCCGAAAAGAATACGTGTTTGAAAAGGTGCGTTTCAGCATAATGGCAATTTTTGAAGTTTATCATCCTAACTTATAAAGTTATTAAACTAAGAAAAAAAAAATGCAACTTAACTCATATTGAGGATGAGTGCTTAACCTTACAAATTAAAAAAAAATACATTGGGTAGCTGGTATATTATCGGTGCTGCAATAGAACTACATTTTTTCCTAAGGTTATAGTTACGAGTTTTGGGTAGTTTTCAGTTTTCTGGGTAGTAACGTTAGATATTATATTTATGTAGCGTAAGAAATGACACTGTCAATCCTAGCACCTTATTGCATCAGGTTATTGGGTCGTACCGCTGACCTTATCTGTATCAAAAATACAACACAATACATAAATGATATTTTCAACAAAATTGAATGCTAAATAAAAGAAAAGAAAAATATTTTCTTCTCACTATTCGAACAGGGACGTGACTGATGATCACCTGTGGTACTCTGTTGCCGGCCGCCCGGCCCGGAGTCCCTTCACCCGAGTCCAGCGCCTGTCTTGCTGCCTGACGCTGCTCTACAGCACCATGGTCACCAACATCATGTTCTTCGGCCGCGGGGACGACTTCGATCCGCCAGAACCACTCAAGATAGCTGGTCTGGAGATCAACCTTCCGATTTCTCTTCCACAGGTAACGAGAATAAATGCAAACTTCACTGTTGTATATGTTTATTGAACTTTGAGACCTTGTAAATATTTATCCGCCATTTCCGTGCAAACCGTGCAAACTGTTAAGTGCCTTTAAAATGAACTTTAGATTAGACATTTGTTTGTTGATAAATTTCAAGAAAAGAAAAGCATGGAAGCCGACTAAACGGTACTAAAAATTATAATACGTACACATTATAGACTTCCCAAAATTAAAAAAAAAAAGAATGCGCTTGACTCACTTTTGGCGTTCGATTTTTCGGAAACGTGACGTCACAAGTGTGTCAAAGGTGAATGGAAGTCGATACCGCCCGCAGTCTCGGTTACACTAGTTGGGTGTATGGATATCGTTTGTGGTGTTTTAAATTTAAAAAAAATCCCCTCCCAATTTTTGTTCTTCTGCGCTTATAAATGGTATACAAATTGAATTTAGGTGAAATGAACTTCTTGTTAACACTGCCCGCCGTACCGGCTACAAGAGCTTGGTGAAAAGATTTTGTTTGTTACGTTTCCAAATATTAAAGGTTTTTATTTTGTTTTCTCAGCTGATGATTGGCCTACAGAGTGCAGCCATCATCCTACCAGTCAACGTCCTCATCGTCTTTCTTTTCCGTAATTCGGGAAAACAGACGACAGAAAAGACTGACGGCAAGAAGTCGAACTTAGAGCTCGGTAGACGCGTGTTGAAATTATTACGTCGCAGACCTAGAGAGATGCGAGATTGTGCTTCTGATAATCCAGACACGCCGTCATTTTGGTACTCAAGAGACAGAACGGTCCCCGGAAACAAAGACCACAAGCTCAGAGTGCTGCAGTCGTCATTGGATGTTGATGTTGAAGAAAGTTCCAGGAAGCTCAGTGATGATAACACAGGTCTTGACCAGAAGTCGTCTCTGCCCTGGTGGAGTGTTCTTCTAGGTAAGCTATAGATCCACAACTATCACCCGGTATATGGATATAATAGTGTTAACTAGTATTATAGACATCTTTTAGTTTTTTTGGTTTATCAATCGATTTATCCATTTCATGTTAAAAGTAACCATACAAACAATAAAAACCGAAGACTGGTCAAATCTCTCTGCTTGTTTACCTGATTCCAATGTACTAGATTCTATGGTCATGTCATTTCAAGTATATTTTAAGAGAGAATGATAAAATGTTTTAAAATCATCATTGTATCTTTGACCAATTTTATTTTCAGTAGACTATACGAAAGTTCCTGTCAAAAAAACAGTCAATAAAGAATCAATTATGTCTTGGATTATTATCAAAATAACGGCTGTGTCCACCCACAGGCTGGTTCCTTGTGTGGTCCGGGAGTTTTGTGGCGGCTTTCTTCACAGTTCTGTACACGCTGAGTTTCGGGAGAGAGAAAGCGGACGCCTGGGTCTGCACCTTCGTGACGTCATTCGTCAGTGACTTGTTTCTGGTGCAACCTGTCAAACTGGTTCTAGTGGCGATGATCTTTTCCTTATTTACAAAGGTACTGTGTAACAGTTCTTTAAATTTCCTTGTCCTGCTGACGTTTTTTACACAATGTTTTTCAAGAGTTTTATTTCGTAATAAAGACACAGATTTTTGATTCCGTTTGCGCTGTTGTGGCGGAATATTTTTTTACATTCGCTGCATTTCGATGCGTTCTTGTGAGAAATGTCCCCAAGCCGTACATATGCAGGACCCTATATGGGTGTTACTGTATGTACAGCCCAAATATATACTGTCCCAGCAAGATAAGAGTTTAGTACATTTATACGCATACATTTACCATCCTTAGATATGCATATACTTGAACAAAACGCAACAAAACGTATGTAACAATAATCATCGATGGCCTTAACCGTCTAACACAATTATTTTCTAAACAATAGTAGCATGGAAATTACTAGTTCGACTAATAACAAAAACTGCATTTCGGCTAAAATATTTGCATTTTTAATTTTTTATTGGATTTCTATATTTTAAAGGAGATGGTCATGTCTATAATACCCCCCCCCCAAAAAAAAAACTAAATAAATAAATAAATATAGTCCATTAAATGCATGTATATTAAACAATAATCAGTCTATGGCATTTAAAAGGAATGTATGCAAATTAAGTCACCAACTCCGTGTCGGTTGGTTCCACCTAGAAATAAATTTATCTACCTACCCACATACCTCGTTTCTACATCTTAAATTAATATGTAATGTCGTTACTTGTTAACATAACGTTAAAAATACACATTTACCTAAAAAATAAACTCGTTGACATTCCAACCTACCGGAAAGTAATTGCGCAATTGTCAAGAGAGTGCAGGCGCCGTGTTTGTTGTCTTATCGAACCATAGAAACCTGTTATATTTACGGCAGTACCATGTGTATAAAACTATGTGTATATTGTATAGATATATACATATATTTTGCTCGTAGAAACCCGTTGTGGAAGAAGACCCACCACCCACATCAAAGGGGGACGACGAGGAATATATAATGTACAAGGAGGTAAAAAATGTTAATTAGTTAAATCATGGAGTTCTACCCCCATGGTTAAATCAATTACAACTTACTAAATCAAACGAATAGGGGCCATAGGATTTAGCAATAGGAATTTGCCTTTGTCCTCTAGGCAACTTTTAACCTTTATGGCACTATACTGAGCAACTAGTCACTATCTCTACTAAACATACAAACCAAACTGTAATTATCACCACCCTAAACAATACACTTAACCCGGAGGGTGAAAGTAATAATCACCTTTATCACTTTTTTTAATTATCAAATATGTTGATTTCGTAAGATAATCACTAGTAGATTTTGCCACAGGGTGACGTACCTACACAGAAAAGGCACGTAACCAGTGCAACCAGCTGGAGGCGATATTTTGTTACTAACCGTGCACCTGAGTATGGTATCGACTCTAAGGTAAATCGATATGTTTACATTATTATATTTCCTGTGTCATATTACCTGTGCCATCACATGAAAACCGTAAACTATACAAATCCATTATGCTGAAACTTATTTGCTAATCTTATTCATGCCTTTTCTAGCATTTACTTAAAGTAAATGTATTAAGTATGTGAATATATCCTAATCGTGAATCATTAAAGAAAATGAACAACAGCAAGGATTGGGAGATTTAAGACTTGAAGGAAATTTACTTTAATTTTCGTGAATGTGAGAGAATATTTTGAAAAAAATCTAATCGGGTATTGTACTTGCAGTCCTGAATTCTTCCATATACCTTCTACAAAAAGTATATGAAGGATACGAATATATACGTATATGTATATGGAATATACGTGTATGAAATATACCTTTAGCCTTGACCACCCCACCAGTAACCACCTTACACTCTCCATGCATGAAACATTCAAACTCATAATCCAGCCAACCCAACAGTATTTCCTTTTGGGTAACATAAATGTTAAATTGTAGATTAGATTTCAGAACATAAATAGTGCTGGGTGATATGTGCTGAAGTATTAATTATATTCCATTTATTAAATTATGTTTTTGGCTTTAATGTCTATGTACATACCCGTTATGATATTAGGTTCCATGTGAGGAAAAGTCCAGCTCACCACCAGATGAAACAGTTCTGGCAGAAGCCAGAGCCAAGAGTACAGAGAAACGGAAACGTCGTAACGCTGTTCTGGAGGTGATGGTGTTTAGCCTGTTCGTGACGGTTATCATGCTCACTGCGTACAACGAGAGAAGCCCGCTGGCCTTCTACATGTCACAGAACGTGAAAGAACAGATTGTGAATGAAGACTTCTCAATTGTAATTACATCTAACAGTTTATGAAACCAGGCCATAGGTTGGCTAAGGGATTGTATATGTTGCATAAATGCGACCATCGGGCGTTATATCATAAGCTAAACAAAGTCTACATTTAAAAACATGTGGTAAGGGCATGCGTAACATTTTACAGGTATATGGAACAAAAAATTACTTGAGAAAGAAAGACGTTGAGGCACATTGGATTATTTTCATGTTCGTAATTTTTTTCTTGAATGCAGTTAAATGTCTTTATTTCTTTCTCTCGTTCCATATCCTCTCTCGTCATCACTTTCTCTCTATGATGTCGGTTTCGGATTTGAATAGTCCTATATGAATAATCCCATGTATTTCACTGGTGTTTTTGTATTTGTCCTTGTGCATTCATAGATATTTGAATACGGTAGAGAAACACGGTTGTTTAACCGAAGACTGAAAAGAAGCCACTCCCCCATTTTGCCTCCGAGTGACAGTACAAATGCGATATACCCAGTGCCAGTGAAAAAAAAAATTAAATAAAAGTAATGCATGTAACAAGGTCACACCAAACTAAATTTTCGATTTCTTTATTTTTATCTTAAATTTACGATAGTGTACTTGCCAATAAAACTATTCAGTGACCATATGATCTGTTATTATTTTGCAGATGCATCATTACTGGCAAATGCGTCTATAGCGTAATTTCAGAAATACAACGCAGATAGAATTGCAATAACAGTATCGATACTTTCTTTTTTTTAAGATCAAAGACATCGAATCGTTTTGGAGTTGGGTCGAACACGATCTGATTCCAACAACCAGCTCAGCAGAATGGTACAACGGACAAAACATGTCAACAGACACGGTACTCAAGGACATGTTAACGCATCATTTGGACGTGGTACATTTGAGACAACTGCGACTAAAACAGGGTAGGACGTCTGTTTTTGGTACACTGTACATTATGATTAATAAATAAATGAATGACTATATATCGAGGTTGTGTGTCTAGTTGTACAATGATGACACCCGCTGCAGATCGCTGTACGATTTTGATACCTTAGATTTTCCAACCATAGGACAAAGCAAAGCATTAAAAAGCGTAAAAATGCTGCATGTACCTAATCAAGGCAACTGGGTTTTGCAGGAGACGTACATGTTCAATGTTGTTCATTATTTCAAATCTTAAGCCTGCGATCTTTAAACCATCACACGATAAATATAACCGAGACAAGCCCAAAACAAGCTGGACTCACTAAGACTGACTACCAACTGACCGAATATGAGGAGTAGCGACTACCTAGGAATACCCTCCATACTTTTTAGTATTGGGTTTGATTCAAACAATGATTAGCCTTTTTATGACTATAACCGAGTCACTTTTTTTTGGCGACGCCTCAGGGGCGGAGCCGTTAGTATAGTACTGCGATCGAGTTGAAAATATTCTAAAAATTCCGTCAATGCATTCCCTAGGGAATTACTTGTTTGAATGACTGTGTTTGTACACAGCAAGTAGGGATATCTAAAGTGATGGTTGATCTTTTGCAGAAGTCTTTTGTGTAAAGTTTAATGGCTTAGTTGTCAGTCGATAACTGGGTACTTTATAAGTAGGAAAGGCCTATGTTACCATGCATGCAAAAGGCACCTTTTCCGGCCAACTGTGGCTTTTTGCACACAGAATATTAATGATTGTCTTTATTGATATTTCAAAGATATTCTCTTCTATCAAGAGAGAAAAAATAGAATAAAATAAAACAGAATAATTTTGTTGCTCATAAGAAAGAACAAGGAGCAGCATATTCAAGCTTAAAAGGATAATGTTTTAAGTAAGTTTTTAGCTTCAACCATATGATGCTGGGCTTCTATTTATAACTTAACTGTGTGCTAATGATGATGTTTTGTGTGTTTTCCACCATGCGTGTTTGTGTCAGTCTTGCTTTTTTTATTCATATTTTTTCTTTGCTTTCACGATGCTGCTGCATTCAATGCTTGTTTTTTCAATCTTCTTGCGTGCAAATCATGAATGCACACCCCGATCCTTCCTTGACTGGGCTTCGTGCTTGCCAGTGAATCCCTGCTGTAGTCTGCATCTCAGGATGAGACATGGCGAAATTTACCTGTGGACACAAAAAGAGAAAAGCAAATGAGGTCCATATTTGAATAAGTTATGTGATTTAATGATGTTTACCTTCACCTAACTTTCAAATGCCCTAGGTATGAAATTCCAGGCAGTTACCATTGCTGAATTACAACATTGCTGAATTTCTCATTAATTATGCAAATTAAATCTTAATTTACATAATATCTGCCTGTGTTTCTCTCGTTCGCAATTACATATGCCACATGCTTTAATAGTCCTATCATGTAATTTAACTGAATCATGGCACGGGGGCCTGGCACCCAGGCTACATTGTTTTCCCAGCAATCATTAATCATAGAAAGCATGGTACTTTTCAAAACTCACACAGCTTATCGTGAAAGAAGTACTATAGAGATGCGAACATTGCCTAACTATCGTGATTATTTACAATATTGCGTATAATAAGGATGGTTAGGCACTTACCTGGTATTTTGTTCCACTTCTTCTGTCTTGTATTCTTGAGTAGCTTTTGTGTTTGTCGTCATGTAGAGCTGAAAGAAACAGTGTAGAACAAGTTAACGAAGTTTGTTATATTCTAGGGTTGCGTTATTCTGCATAGTTCGACAGCGTTCAGCGTGACCGCGGAGGAGAACATGCGTACAGAGCAGCAAAGTGTAGGTGCATCAATCATCAAGGGTTAGAGTTAGGATGTACCGGATTGTCAATAAACAAAAAATACATCCACGTCGGGTGTGTCAATAAGAAAATAATTTTTTATATCCACACCAAGTGAATCGATAAAGAGAAAAAATTCCTATCCACACCGGGTGCGTCAATAAGGAAAGAGAAATATTTCATATCCACAACGGGTGTGTCAATAGCCACGTACTTTCTTAATATCGTACGACGATGTAACCAACAAACCCGTATGGTTTGCCGCTTACTGGCCATCGAATCCGCATTATGCATTTCTAATTATAGCGAACTCACCTTTCCTATAACCGCTGATATTATAAGCCGACAAAAAGCAAAAGTAGGGAAAGTTCCAAAAGATTTAATGAGCAAGTACCCTATTCTAGTATATAATTATTGTACAGACAAAGGGCGAATTTTCTTCTATACTCTCACCCCGTCCAATCAACCCCGCCGAGACAGCAGATTCGAATCGCTTTCTTGTTTACTCAAACCACAACATCAGTCAAAACAAAGTTTTTAAAATGATTGTTTTAAAGTTGATAGTTGTGGCTGTTGGGAAATGAAATGATCCACGCGATGTACCATGGTGATAGCAGGGCATATATGAATGTGACGGTACAAGGCGCGGATTTTTCTGAAAACGATGAACTGTCAGTCTCAAAACGTATGAAGCAGAGTCAAGGAACTGATTGTAAATACAACGGAACGATTATTCACCCTAGCACCGTATATACGTAGCCTCCCCGGTATATCTACGGTCATGGACGCCCGCCTGCGCTTCTTCTTGTATAATCTTAAGAAACCAGTTCTACATCCTCAACAAATGTAAAGGCGAATGTTTTCATCTTTACTCTGTGACCCAATTTCCCCCAAACCACTAGAACTTTTCACGTTGACATTGTCGGGAACTGTGGGGAAAATCACTGTTGTCAGAAGCTGGGGGCAACACTTACTTTAAGCCAGAGAATCGCAACAGGCCAAGTTTAGTGGGTACGTCATTTAGAATAGTATAAAGGGTTATCATACGTAGTGTAGAAACGAAATTAATGAGTTATTTACGCAAGCTTTACAACAACGATTGACAGCGAAGGAAAACATTTGGACGAAGCGGTGTCAGAACCGTCAGGACGCCGGTGAGAACAACGATTCTTTAAATTTCAAAATAAGAGACGGTACCCGAGCAGAACGTGGGGCCGCTCAGAGACAATGTCACCTAGCCTGAACGACTGCATGGAAAAACGGACTGATCGAAATGGAACAACTTACATGTTACATGCACACAAAAAAATCATAACATTACACAAAAAAACTTTAAACCAAAATAATACACCGTTTGATGGTACACGTAAGAAGGCAACATGAACCAAGACCGTGGACACAAATACACACTACATATGGCATGGTTCCAATATCAAAAGAACAGTCTCAACCTACTCAAGTTTGGGCTTACCTCCGTGCCTGCACGACTAAAATCCGGGGACTTTCCAAGTGTGCGTGCTGCTCCGGCGAGGGTTGACCGGGCCGCGGGACACCCGCTTTCCACGCCCGCGCGCTGTTGGCCGGGGCTGCCTGCATTCTACGCCCGTGCGCTGCTCCAGATTGGCCGGGCTACCCGCGCTCCACGTCCCGCGGCCTGGTCGTGAGGTCACGCCGCCGATGGACGTGGGTTTTTTTTTTTCCGCGCGTAATGAGTCTGCGAGTAGGTCGCGGTGATATTTATACGAGGACACATCCTTATTAACATGTTTTGCTAGCTCTGTCCATTTTTGGAATATATGGGAGGGATTAAATATTGCTAATTGTAAGACAATTACGCCTGATTGGCCAAGACAATGAATACGATTATCTAACTACATTTCTGCTGACCACAACAACTTGTGCGAGGCAACCTCCGGCCATCTGGCCAGGGTCACTGTATGGGATGGTGCGAAAGGGGTCAAGCTTGTTGTTGTAGCGGCGGTGTAAACAAACAGAAACCTTCCCCGAAACCTGAAAACGTAAAGCCCCTTATATTACCAACATGAGCACATGTCCACAGCGCAAGCCTTTTCAAATTCCAAAACGCTGCCGAAAAGAAATGACGGGTTCCATTTATTTACTATAACGATGAAACCCATGGAAGATTATAAAAATAATGTGTGTCTTTCTTCTTCTTCTGTTGTGTTTCCTTTTACTGTTTGTCCTAAAACCGCTACAAAGAAAAATATGTGCCAACAAAAACGGACAAAAGTGCATCCAACGTTACATTGTGACGCGGCGATTTGAGGCATATAAAAACTAGCATCCACCAGGCCTTTCTACGGGAATACGGATCGTAGAATTCGGGGAAAAAAGAGATTAAAATTGGCCAAGGGAGTCCGGCCGCGAGGAGGTAGTTAAATGACCCCCTTATAAATCTTTCCCTCCGAAGGCCAGTCAAACCTACTAGGTCCTACAAGGCGGTCAAACTCCCCTGGCAAATATTCTACTATAAATAGCCAGCGTTGTGAGTCTGGTAGAGGCTATGTAAAGACATAGTCACTGACCAAGTCAATTGTGAACGACAGGCCAGATCAAGTGTATAGCAAATATTAGTATCTGGACATACATTTCTGCATTCGGAATCGGAAACAACGAATGTCACCAAGGAGCGCTCTTATCTACGCACCGCAACACGTTCAATTCGACAGAACAACAACAGATGACACTTGTGGAACCGCCTGATCTTCGCGGATCAACTTTACCTCTGTAAGGTCGTTCTGTACGTTTCTGGCGAGTGTACCTGTGGCCACTCTATTTATTTATTTATCAACCTTGGATGCATGTTGGTGTCCCTGCAAACGTGTGTGGCGGACAACACATCTATAAACCAGACCTCGTGACCGTGGCCTGTTTGCGAACCAGCACACGGACAGCATCCACAAGCACGCCAGGCCTATATCTGTAGCATTGGGGGTTCATAACGGCTTTCATAAACATTTTTCTGACAATCCCGTACCCGCGAAAAGGTTTGGGTTTGATAGCCTATTCCTACCCTTACAGAATATACACACAGCGACAGACCATGCTATGTTATGCACATAATGATAATGTATATGATATACATATGGTTTTTGCGTATCGATCCAGAGTCCAGAGCGCACGTAAACTATATTGTCCTGCTTTCTATTATATAAGGTCAACGACCGCTTGACCGGGCATGTAAAATTTGCAGCAGTGGAGAAAAGGATCGCTTCGGTAGACTAGATAATGATCACCGTACCGGTATCCAGTGATCTTTGTTCCTACTGACTTTATACAAGGAGCTTTCATCACAAGTAGTATGTCCTTTTATGTCTTACAACTTTTGATAGATTTTATCTGGATTCATGTGCTGTACGTGCGCTCTTATAGAGTCCATTCCAAGTCACCGTCGTGTTTTTTAAAATAGTACCTTTAATATTTTCTCAATGTTTTTATTTTTGAAAATATTATAAATATTCTGAAATTATTATAAAAATGTACGTACTTGAGTAGCATGTTTTCGAAAATGTCATAATTTGCAAAAATTTCGAAAGTGGCAATCAACTGAGATCTTAATTTTAATTTCTTTTTTTTACCAGCCAAACTTCGTATTTACTTGATGTGCAGTTTCACCCGCGGCATCTGGGTTTACGCTCTCTGGCGGCGTCCTTTGTAGTCCGTGTAGTCAAAAGGCAGACGCCTGCATACAAATGAGCCCGATCATGACGTCACACGCGCCGATGCAGGCCGAAGATCGCGATCGCCCGAGCTGCCAGCGGTTTCCGCGGACTTCCTTATTTGGAAGCACACATGACTTGCACGGACGGCGTTTTTGACGAGAGGGAAGACGGAGTGTATTTTGACATGTTTCGGCGCCGTGTAATAGATCTACGTAATACTGTGCGAGAAAGATCCTTGAATTTACAAGCGTTTTTGTGAATGGGTACCTATTTTTTATCTAAAGAAATATGGATGGACTGTACAACCATGGTACAACAGAAAGGATTTGATGTTTCACTAGAGTTTGAGATTTATTAAAAGCAGCGTACGGTTTGGCACTGTTTTTCTGTATCAATGGCTGGCCGCTATCGTGTCGAGTGCTCGCCGACGGCAGGATCGCCGCAGGGTTCATCAACGATACCTACTAGTATTTTTGGCTCACAGAACGCTTCGTGTTGATGTGCAAATTACTTCGTCACGGGTCATTTACAAAATTAAAAAAAAATGGTAGAACCGAGTTGCCTTTTTTTAGAAATCATTGGAAATATCGTACGCGGACTCAAAAATATTTCGAAAGTTTTGTAATTTACGGAAATTTCTTAAGAAGTTAAGAACAAGTTTGAAATGTTTGTAAAACATAAGATATCCCTTTAAAAATATTTATAAAAGATTGGAATTAAATCTAAACAATAGCAACAAACACCGAGCTAAGAATGGGGACCCGATATTGGTCGATTGCCGACATGTAGATAACCAGGCACATATATGTACATGTAGCTTATGAAGTGAATATTCCAATTCGTACATATAATAAAAATAAATTCAATTGATAATACCCTAATTTACATAATATACAATTCGTCGCCTAGGTGTATTTTTTACACCTTTCTTGTTGTTTCTGGCATCTTGTTGTGAATTCAGGACGACTCTGTGAAACACCTAACAGAATGAGACATATAACACCACTGTGTACTGTGGGCTTCTCTACACGGATGGAAGATGTTGGCAATTATACACAGGTAAATTTCCATTCATTCATTCATTCATTTACTTTTTTTAAAAATGTGATGAATTAGGATGGTAAAAAACACGCATATGTCACAGAATGTAATTTGAATTATTAACAAACAAAAGGAACATTATATTCAAACTAATCAAGCTAATCACACAGTTCAAATCGTTTGAATGGCCTTTACAAACTTAGATGGACAAAACGTAATTGCATATGTGGTGATAAGTGATTCCAAAGGATGACTGTGCAATTCTGAAATGTTCACTTTTTTTACGTTTGTTCCGGGATTTTAGTAGTATAAAGTTGTTAAAAGCAGAGAATTTATGTATTCAGTGTGCTTTTTACTACAGGGGTGGATTCCTTACAACGAAACTGCCAACAGTACAGACACGGTTATATGTACGTCGACGTCAGCTACATCTACAAGTACAGTAAGTACGCCGGCCATAGGAGAGGACTGTACAGACAGACTACTGACGGCAGAAGAAATAACAAGACCTTGGAAGTACACCGTCCCTCCTCTGTTTGACAGTAAGTCAAATACTAGTAGTTGCGCTTGTTAAAAGATTTAAGACTTAAAGGAATGCCGCTGATAACTTCTACAATATGATTACAATTGATCTATGATGATCTAGGATTAATCTCTTGAACTAACATTGCACAAAGAAAGACAAACCGTTTCTAGAACTGTGAATGTAATGTGCATGTTTGTACAGATAGATGCTCAGAACATTCTATTTAGCTAATACTACATACACCGTATGCTATTATTCCACGGCTTAATTATTATATACTAATAATGCGATAGAAGACGAACTACGTTATTGAATATTCAATAGCATTATTGTTATTACTTTTGAAGTATTATACATCATTTTTTTCTTTGTGTTAAATGTTTAAAGCTTGAGTGTAGTGCCAGATTTTCTTTGTATCTGCCTCAATGCAAAAGGGATGTCCACAACCAACAAGGATGATGTATTCGGTTTGAATGGCGATACATTTACACAATCATGTATGATAACTTCCGTGTCGTATATGGTCGTTGCCATTTGAAACGGCCCATGCCATGCCATATCGCAAAATGGCTAACTTAAAGTGTCAATGATGTTACTTGGCATGGAGAGTTAAGGTTTGATAATTGGGATTTTTGACCAGGGTTCGAATCCGAGCTTGTGCTATGTCTTTCTTTGCACCGCTCTCCTTACTCACATTGTCGTACGAGCGAAACGTTGCCATTAAAAAGGTATACGCTTGTGTATTGTATTAGCCATTCAACAATATTGTATTAACCATTTTGAATAACAATAACGTTTACAACACAGAAATCAGAGCACCAGGTTAGTAGAAAAAATGACTTATCATTATGCTTCTCTCCAGAGAAGCATAATGATATGCCGGTATGTTTACTATGGTAATTTTCTACATACAGGCTTTCCATATTTCGGACAGCAAGGCATATATCACACAGGTGGCTACTTGGCTCCGCTGGGAAAAACACGTGCATCAAGTTTGCGGTTGACAAAATTCCTACAACAAAGCAGGTGGTTGGATGAGCGAACCCGTGCCGTCTTCGTGGAGCTGATTCTGTACAACCCACATGCGAACCTGTTCTCTCTGGTAACCCTACTGGTGGAGTTTACTAACCTGGGAGCTGTCTACAGACGGGCCGAGGTTGTAACCTTGAGGCTGATCCAACAAGACGTCATCTTACTCTTGACATTGCGAGCTGTGTTGGCGATCTTTCTTCTTTTCTTTGCTATCAAAGAAGGTAAGAAACTGCGTACATTTTAAACTTTGTTTTAACATAACTATTTGTGCAACAAATCTTATATTACCTGTCCTATATTACACTTTATTTCTTAAAATTCATGTACCCGATAGCCTGAATCACGTGACCTGATGGACAGGTGACGTCAGCATGTCATACATACCAGATTTCTGAAACAGAGACGTCTAAGGAATGCATATGAAGTCCCATGGAAAATAAATATTTGATAAGAGGACATAAATGCATTTAACTAAACATTTTAACACCAAACAGAAATAAAGGAATAAAAAAGAAGTACTACTAAAACCAGTAGGCCATTTGCGTCTAACGGTACTTACTTCCTAGCTCTTACAACCAGTTGTTGACGTAGATTGTCCTGAAGGTCGCGTGATACTGGTGATTTTTTCATGAATTTTGATTTAGGACAGAAAAATGATGACAGTTAATGATAAAGTAGATAACATTTCCAAAGAAATATAAAATTATTTCTTTCACATACAACGTCAAACATTTACTGGGAAAGAAGGTCACTAAAGTAGACAGAAAGTAGTAAAACAACACTTTTAATAACATACCTATCCGTTGTTCTTTGCATTCTTGTATAGATCATATCGGCATGAATCTCTATGTCGTTTCATTGTTTCAGCGAAAAAGTTTTTACCGCGTCCGATGGAATATCTTAGTGAGTTCTGGAGCTGGGTCGAACTTCTTGTAGTCACCGTTGGTATCGCATCTCTTGGAGTCTATTTCAATGCTCAGAGTATCATCGATGAGGCTGCCGAACTGAAGTCATCCCCAATCTCTGTTTTTGGTCTCTACAAAAGCGCAGTCAACTGGTTCCAAGTTTACACATACCTGCTGGCATTGCTCATCTGTTGTGGCACGTTGAAGTTCATTCGGCTCCTCCGGTTCAACTCACACGTCTACGCTCTGACCAGGACCATCACAAAGTCCGCCAAACCCGTGGTACTGTTTACCGTCATGGCTGGCATCGTTCTCATGGCCTTTACTCAGATGGGGAATCTTCTATTCGGCACCAGGCTGCAGGATTACAAGAACGTGCCGACCAGTCTACAGAGTCTGTGTATCATGATGTTAGGTAGTTTTGATTTCGATGCTCTCGTTGATGGACATTGGGTCCTTGGTCCCTTGATGTTCTTTTCCTATCAGGTCTTGATGCAGTTTATATTACTGAGTATGTTTATGGCTATCCTTATGGATGTGTACGCAGAGAAAAGTCAGGATCCCAATACAAACCATTTGCAGATGGTAGCTTTGATCAGAGACACAACGTTGGAGGTTACTAGGAAAGCAAAGCGTAGTTTGTCAACAGTTGGAAAGAACAACGACAGCAAAACATCTCAGGGGGAAAAACCAGATCTGGACAATCACAGAAAGTTTTCCAAGGTGGTCGAAGAACTTGATGAGGTTTCTAAAGCGTAATGCTAAACTATGTAATCATACACTGATCTTGCTTTGTAATTGCAACTTCCAATTTAAATCGATTTATGTTAACAAACCGCAAACATTCTGTGTTTGAATTTTAATGTTCTTACAATACAAACTTTCTATCGTTATCAATCACGCTACATTATGAATTCAATAAAACGTAGACAACCGCACCTAGTTCATTCGGCGAATAATATACAGTAGGCATGCCTGCGAAGTAAGTCTTAGAATATGTTATATACTGATTAAAAAGTGTTCTTCAGTTTAACACGATATGGCAACATGAAAAATTTATCTCCTTTAAATTTTCCTGAGGGGAGTTTACAGTGCAAAGAAATCACATGTTCTGCTTAACATTTAAATTCCTGTTTTAGTAAGTTTAAACAAGGCTTATTTTGAATAAGATGTTTGAAAAAGAAACCTAAATACATACATTATTTTACACAATTAAGCAAGCAAACAAACAAGCATATGTTTGGCTTTATTCCGTAAACTTTGTAGTCGCATCTCTGAAGGACATTTCAATTGCAAGAGCTGGTTCTCGCAACCGTAAATGATAAATAATTAATTTTGTTCATTGTATATTATATATAGAAATGAGATTCCCTGTATAAAAAGACTTTTAGATAAAATGGCAAATCCGTTTTCTTATCAAAGTTTATAGGCCACGTATTATCAGCTCTATATGTTTGTACATCTACACTGCTTCAGAAGCTAAAATAAGTTAAATTGGAATAAATACGTAAAGAATGTAATGAGTTTAAGTTTGTTATCACGGTATTTTTCCTGCTTATTAAATATATATTTGTCGATCATTGCTGCATGTGCATACTGCATAATGTTTCGAATACGGAATTTCTTTCTATAGTTTTCGGATTCAAAATGACTGCAAGTCTGTCTTTTATAATAACATAGTATTATTGTGTAAGATGAATTATCAATATGTCCTCCTCCACAGCATAGCAGTAAACAATATTATGTTCTGCATTGACTAAAACGAGTCCTTAGATCCATAAAACATTAATCCGATAATTATTACATGTAAATAGGTTTCGACTGTTACAAAATTTGATGTAGATTTTACAGCTTATTTTATTCGGCTTATATTTATTTTGTTTTGTGATTAACATATGATTATGAATATAGCCAATGGATATCACTTGCTTATGTCCATAGTTACCACTCATTAACATTTTCTTACTGATTTAATATGTTTGATCAGACGTTGGCATCTTTGTACTTTTGTGTGTATTTTGTTTTTAAAGAATAAAAGGAATGACATTATTTTGTTGTTTCCGTTTTACACATTAATATTAAATCTTGCCAAGTGGATTTTTAAAGATTCTTTTGGAAAATCAACAGTTGATGGACATTAAATTAACTATCGACCTACGAATGATTGTTAAAAATCTTCAATGATAGAAACAGAAACATTATTTGCAAAAAAAAAAAAACGTGCTGAACTTTTACGGCATTCATGAGCCGGCACGGTACTTTCTTTGTCACTGTACCGAATGATCTACTTGCAGGTTTTGGGTTACATTGAAGGGTTGTAGAAGTTTTTGAATCATTGGAGCTTGTTTCTACTGAGAGAAAGATTAAGAGATAGAGTATGTAAAAAGTACATGAACAAAATACAAAAAATACAGATTCTTTGGTCCATTCCAAAGAGCTAATTTAGTTAATGTCGTTAAATTATCAAGATCAGCTTATGTCATTAAAATGTAAAACTACATAGAAATTTCCAAGCTAAAACTAAATATTGAACTCTCTAACACTTTGACTTGACATGCACAAATGTTAGATCCAGGCAAAAAAGTAAAATAGTCCCAAAATCACCATGTACAAGAAAAACACATTGCTAGAGTGGATAACTGAAAAAAAAATGTAAAATAAAAATATATAAAAATATAAAATTCAGGGAACAATAACAGTACTAACATTATATTTAAATTGTAAATTAAAAAAAAAGCATTTCAAAGATCTTAAGTCCAAAAATCAACACGTTACTCACATATCCGCAGCTAAGTCGAGTTCAGTTGTTTTAATATCAGCCCAAATGTTTGTTTTTTGTTTGTTTTCAAAGATAACTTTTCTTCTAAAAGCAGACAATTTCAAGAGTTTAAAAGTGCCAGAACATGTAATAGGCACTGAAGTGTCTGAACTTTTCCCAGCATTCAACATTCTTCCACAAAGGATAGCCATTGGCACCTTCCCTGCACGGTGCGCAGACTGTACTCACATGGTGCAAGCTGATGTTATTTTGCCCTTCCGGTGGCAATCCCTAATGGAAACAGATTTTATTTCATTTTATTTATTGTGGATGCAGCAGCGCATAGCAAATGCTAACATTACACACCAGCATCATCCAAACCATAACAACATACAAGACGTACAACAAAGTATCAATACGATACAATAGCAATGCATCATACAAAAGCTAGACACCAGACATCATACAATAGCAATGCCTAACCATCATCATCTCCCTCCCTTTCTTCCCCTCCTTCCATCTCCCCCTCTCTCTCCCCCTCCCTCCTTCCTCTGCATTTTTGATTATTATAACAGAAACACATAACGATAAAATTGTGATAATACTGGTTATTTTGCATATTATACATTTTGCATATTACACATTGCATATGTCTAAATGTAACACAAAATGTGTCTTTAAATGGCTTTTACTTGAGGTTAATACCAGATAACTTTTGGGTGCCGGATTTGCGCGAGAAAACGTGTAGTGTCCACAGAGAAGTACAGAATGGCTCACTAATCGGAACATAAAAGCCGTGGGTACATATAAACTCAATGCTCTGACACGTTTAAAGATTTTGTAAAGATGTTGGCCTTAAGGGAGAAGCCACTCTGATTATGGTTGTAAATAAACAAAATGAATTAATGTCATAAATTGCCACGTTGTAGTGTCCGTAGAGATGTGTAGTGTCCGTAGAGATTGTATACCATATAAGCAAAATATTTAAGTGTCATAACATTTTATAACAATGTTGTGATCTTCAAAGAAATCTGTACTCTCCTTTTATTTCTATAGTGTTGTTATTATTGTTATATGCCTAATGAGCTGTAGTGCACTACTGAATTATATGAATATTGAATTTTATGTGTTAGATTTAGCGTTCATGGTTGTGTCAATACAGTTCAACATTTTCATCTGCAGACCATAACATGTACCCATGAACTTATTAAATTCTATTTAATCTGCCGCAAGGAACTCGTAATGAAGCTCAGAATGACAACCGGAATCGTTAACCCTACCTAGACCGGGCTTTTTTTGACATGGGGGGACCGGGGGGGGGGGGCGTCTTTTAACCCCCCCTAAGAACTCGCGAACGGTATGTCGTATGACCACCAAATTTTCAGAGAATGGTTTCCTAGTACAAATTTATCATATCTACAATTTCTATGTCGTTATGACGTAATATGACGTCATTATGACGTCATTAATGTGATTTTATTGGCCAAAACCGTCTAAATAGGTTTTTCCCTGAAAACTAAATGGTATTCAACATAACTGTACCAAAAGTGTTTATGACAGAATATTATGGTGTACTAAGTATTGTGTTGCCCATAGCAACACCGGTGACGTCATAAAATGACGTCATGCATATTTAAGATATCGGCAATCTTGGATCATAAATCTTGAATTTTCAAAAATAGTTTTTTTTTCATGATAAAGCCTAAAATACAGTGTAAACATACTAAAGACCTTCATTTAAACCTTTTTTGGAAAAGAAATGGAAGTATTGATGAAATTTTAGTGAAAATAACCTGTATATACCTGTTCTAATGATATGGTCCGCCATCTTGGATTTTGGCCAATGACGTCATCAAATTAGCATAAATTATGCATATTTAATGATAAAATTTACATAAAATTATATGGGATGTTATTAATATTAGAAACCATGAGTAACTTGACATAAAACCCATAAAATTCTATTGTTGAAACAAAAAGTACTAAATTTGGCAAAAAATGCCTGTCAGAAACCCGTTGCCATGGCAACACAAAAAATTATTATCTTATTCCAATGATAGAGAATTGTTACCAACAATATTCTAGGAAAAGTCACCAAGTTTGGCCGTTCTACGGCTAGCCGTTCAGACGCTAGGTGACATCAAAGTTGCCGCGGGCACTTTTAGCCCCCCCCCCGCCGGTCTACGGTAGGGTTAAATCAGACGTTAAAAATAACGGCTGAAGTAGCTAATCCCGCATGTGCAAGCCATTCTCTGTCACTTCCTCCATTTTCCCACGATTCTTCATATAAATCGGGGAATTAAGGTCTGAATCCACGGTAAAATGCATGTCAAGAACGTCTGAGTCCTTATACTGCGGTATTTGTAAGTTAGAAGTCGTAATATAGGCCAAAAACATCCAAAACAAAGATTGCGTAACATTGCAGTTGACCCCTGACCCATTGGCCTGTGAACGCGTACTAAAAATACCAAAATACCCTCCAAACAACAATTGTTGCGCCTCGCATACAGAAGATGTATGTGCACAACAACAATTGTTGCGCGCTGCAGGACTAGGGTTTTAAACAAAGAATTTGTCCTTTTATATTTGGCTCTTGGTTAGACCGTGCTCCTCTTATTTGTGAACCGTAGTGTAATGCTCTCTTTACGTAGAATTGGAGACCTTAACTACATTAACCAATGACGAAATATTGAGTGCGTTCTTTTACATCTGAGGAAAAGAATACATTCCATAAATTTGAATTAATAATACCAGAAAAGGGATATCAAAATGACGAAAACATCATATTAATTATTTTCCCTTCATTAATGGAAATTTGATGGATTAACATGATTGGCTTGATTATTAAGAAGGAAGTTCATATCGTCTTGCAAATTGCACTGCCAACAGACATACGTACACACACAGACACAGAAAAAGGGAGGGAGAGGGAGAGGGGGGGTGCGGGAGAGACTTAAATAGATGACCATGGTATTAAAGATAAGAGAAGCATTGCACAAAT